CCGTTTGCCTTCCTTACAGAAATGACATCGCAAGCGGGTGTACATTCCGTGGAGCCAACTGAGTGGAGCCGATCATCTTTTCTTTGCCGTAAACGAAAATGGCAAAATTCGTAGAAGTTTGAGATATGCACTGGCTGCAAGTGACCTTTCGGTTACAATAGTTTTGCCGATATCGCACGGTCACGGACTGGCTGATGTCGACAGTTCGGTGTCAGGGGTGAAATGACTGACGGCTTGCCCAGGGCAAAAGTCCTTTTATAGTCAGGGTCCTTGTTTAAACCCTCCCCCTTTCTCCTTATCAAGAAGTTCTCCCTCCCCCCCCGGCTCCTCGTCAAATAACGCCGAAAATATTAGTTACTGCAAGTCCACAGGCCAGAAGCACATTATAAAGCAGACAAGATCTCGACTTGAACGATTTTTCTTGACTCCTATTACTTTGCGCCTTCAGATATTGTCACTCTCTTAGGCGGGTTGTTTATTGAGAAAAACATTGGCCATTCCCATTCCCTTTCGCAAATCTCTAAGTTTGCTGGTGCTTCTGGGTAGAGAAGGAAATGGGAACAATACAATGTCGCGCTCAAACACGGATCTTTTAATTTCGCTCTTGTACACTCTTCCAACAAAGCTGAAACGGCCTAATAACCGACCTAGATCTTACAACACGTCGTGCATACTGCTGGGATCAACAGTGATCATGATATCAGGGGAGGTTTTGGAAGAATGAAGACATATATCTTATTAACCAGGCGCGAGGGCCGTACTGGGAGAATATCGGCCCGAGGTCTTGACAGTACGGACCGAGCTGCGCTCGGTCCGTACAAAAAAGACCGAGGGCCGATATTCTTCCAGTACGGTCCTGAGCAAGCTTGGTTAATAAGAGATTTACTATACGACTGAAGTTCAAAGGGACACAAGGGCGGTATCATTCGGGACCATTCGGGACAGTGCCCGGTCCAATACTGAGAGAATATTGGCAATAGAGCATTTTGATTGGTTGATTTTAGTTATTGGCCCTCCGACTGCCCGAATCGTGTAATAAATCAGTGTCCTCAATTGTGTTCTACTCCTGTAAGTATGTTTGTTGTCAAGCGCTATTCAACTTTTTTGTGGTAAATAGCGCTAAATAAGCAATAAATTTATTATTATTAATATTATCATCATTATCACATTATAATAAGAAGTAAACCGTGTTTTAGTACTTACGTTCGCTCCAGGATTACCTGCTTCACCCTTTGGTCCCGGTGGACCACGACCTCCCTGAATAAGAGAAAGAGAACGGCATGCCTACCATTAATTCACTAGCATTGCACTACCAATGACAGCCAATGCACAAGGCATACATTGGCAAGTACACTCCATAATTACGCAAGGTGGCTTCAAAGCGACGATTCGTTAAGGACCAAAAACAGTGACATTTTGTTATTATTCACTTTATGCTTCAAAATTATGTCTAAACTTGGGTCTTTTAAAGTTGTTGAGGTTTTTCCTCAGATTGAGCGTTCTCCATTTGCGCTGGTTAAGCGTGTTTTTGTCGTAGCTATTTTCGTGAAGTTGAGCGACGTTTTCAAGGTCTAGCTTTAAATTGAGAACTTGTTGAAGATTGGACAACAACTCCAGACTCGATGCTTTTTCCATCCTATAGAAGGGGCGAAGGATGTTAAGACAAACTTTACTGCATAAAGACCAAGCTTACGGGTGAACCAGGTGAACCGCTGCGTCCATTTCGGCCCGGGGGACCTGAGTCACCTTTGGGTCCTTGTGCTCCTGGACTTCCTCCAGTTCCGGGTGCGCCAGGGGGTCCCTATACAAAGCAAAAATATTGTATAATTCGTTGCCTTTACATACAGTTTATTGCACCGCTGAAAAATACCAAGGGCGCAGTTTCCCATGCCATATGCATATATTGGACAGAGCTGAATAATGAATGCTACGTCAGCGGGTATGCGGTCGACAACGCGGGCTCATGTGTCCTAGGTCTAAAATTTAGCGAAATTAGCGAAGAATAACAACGGCTGACCTTTAAAACCGAGGAACTATCTTTTCTATTTCCAAATATTTAAAGGAGAAAATTAATTTTTGAAAATTTTTCGGGGGGTGTACCAAATTATTGGAGGTTGTTCTGTAAAAGAAAAGCGGCAAGGAAAACGACGCCTCGAAGCAACAGAATAGGAAATCAACCATGCGAATGACTCAAAATCCGTGTTTCCGCGGCAAAATCTGGCGCATGCGTATACGTTATTCAGCTCTGTCCATATATTGTACTTTTGCGGAGTTTTGTTTTAGGATGGTATTTCAGGGCTATCCTGTAAGAACCATTAACATCGGCGTGGCCGTAGTTAATAAGAAGACAAGGAATCTGGACGCATACGAGTGGTTGTGTTGTATCTATTTGCGCCAAGCGTAGTTGTTCCCAACAATAGCTATCATAACCATACCCCCCAAGTCGAAAACACACCCGGTACGGATCAGTCCTACCCCCGAGAAATATCCACTGGCTAACCAAAAATTATCCTTTCATCGTTGTTAACAGTACGCCTCGGTTTCAATTACAAGGAGAGACATTTGTTAGGTCAGTTTCTATTCTTGTGGTTGAAAGCTGCCTTATGAATTCTGATATTGGCCAAAACAACAACTGGTTATTTACTCATTTTGCTGCTGATATCAAATTCCTGTGTAGTTTGATATACATGTGAAGTGGTTGAAATTTACAGTCCATCTTTGAAATGGGGCCTCCAACTGAAAGCTAAAATCATAACCAATTATTCATGTTTATGTTTATTTTGTCTATACCATTGGTCCTCTGTCACCCTTTGGTCCGGAAGGTCCTGGATGCCCAACTTCTCCCTAGAATTGATTCAAAACACTTTTATTCAAAAGTAGTAAGCATACAATCTTCGAGATAGAGCGCTGCACTAGTATCGCAGAGGTCAGTGGTTCGACTCCCGTACAGGCCTGATTTTTTTCAGGTCTGAATTTCGCTATTGCTCAAATAGCGCTATCTACTGCGAGGATCGTCCATCATACGCATACAATCTTCGTCACCATCATAATCATCATAATATGACGGCTACTAAGATAATAGACAAAAATGCAATGATGCACAAAAGTTGAATATTTCCATTGTTTCGGCCCTTATGATCCATCAAATAGTTATTCTCACGCGCGTTTGATCTAAACGCATTACGTGACCGAAAACTGGGGGAATATTCGAGGATATAACCCAAGTGATATTCCCCAATTTTCAAACCTTACATCCACCGCGATAAGTCTTCGTTCAAGATGGGAAAGTGTTTTGTGGTTGTTACAAAAAAAAAAAAAGGGATATAACTATTTGTTCATAAAGTTGTACCAGAACACTCAATGGTGAACATCCCACGCAGCAAATGGTAAGCTGCTCATAAACATTTTTCACGTGCGATTAATAACATGGAGCAGCTAGGAGTATTGGTGCTCCTGTTAGATGCGATGTTGAATGTTAACAGTTACCCATTTAATAATCCCAACTGAACAAAGGCACCAGATAGTTGAGTGCGTCTCCCGGCTAAAGGCTTGTTTTCACTACTAACGGAGTCCGAATCGGAGTCGAAGTCGTAAGAGCACTACGGACCCCGTGAAAATCGAAATTTAGTGTCTTGAGCGACAGAATTGGAGTCAGAAGAAACAGAGCGGTTTGATTTTCATTCATTTCTGCTTATGATCCCATGGCTTGTTACCCCATGAAAACTAGATTGTTGACGTTGCACGCAATAGCGGAAAAACTAACCAATTGCAATGCGAGTTCTCAGGCCATCCCAAGACTTACGAATTCGGCAAACCACTTTTCATTGGATCGTAAGAGTCGTAAGAGGCATCGATATTTTGCATGACTACGTTGGTTTGATTCGATTGTATCGCTCAGCGCCTTTGATTACGACTCCGTTTCGGACTCCGTCTTTCGAAACCAGCCTTGAGGCTCCAAACCGGACCTCTGAACCCGAGTTTGGCTAGTTAACCCTATATCGAAGGATGGAGTGCTTGCTTAGGGTTAGAGTTGAGTGTCGTACCACCAAAACCAAGGTAAATAACAACGGCCAATCAGAGGAAAGGAAAATACCGCAAAGAGCCAATGACAACTCAAAGTAAACGCAAACAAACTGTCTAAAGCGCGGGAAAACGCAGGCGACCAAATCATGATTGGTTTCAGTTTTGCATCTGATTGGTTGAAAGAGTGGCACGAGTATTCTAGACCAATCACACAGCGAAAGCAAAACCAATGGATACTTCCAACACTTAACTGAAAGTAATGCGCCAAAAAAAGGTCAAAATTAAATAACAGGTTTACTACTGTTTCACCACTCACCGGTCCACCATCAGATCCTGGAGGTCCAGGCTCACCATCTTTTCCATTGTTACCCTGACAGAAAGGAAAGAGACATATTTAGCACTTTCTTTCAAATTCTGCAGCCCCTATGGTTTACGTAGTACTGGAAATGTCTGGAAAAAAGTCTGTCATCTTTCCTTCCTATTTAACCAGTTTGGAGTCAAGAAGTCTTACACATAACAAACTAATGTATGAAAATTATACATCAGATTTAGGAGTGGAAGTCTGTAAAGATACCCTTATTCCCATGTTTCAGAACTGCATTTAAATTTGGAATGTTTTTGTGACATCAAGTTCAGCGATCGAACCTGCAGCACAATTTGGGCAGGATTCTCACTACAACACAATCTCCTTCCTCTTCAATAACTGCATGGTTGAGATCCCATTTGTGAAATAAAGATGTGTGCTTTGTTACCATCTCATTTTCGCAAGAAATTTTGAATTTAACATGTTTTATAAAGATTGCTATTTACATGCTTGATATCCAAACTTTTCACCCCTGTGCTAGACTAGTTGGTGTCAAAATTTACTGCTTCAGAGCAGCAGTAGAAAATAAACTCAGTGGTACAAAAAGGTGAGCCACAGAGGGACGATATCTTCACAGTGCTTCTGTATTGATATCAGAGGAGAAAATACATCACCACTTACGGGAAGCCCAGGAAGGCCATCTTTACCAGGTCGGCCTGGTTCTCCAGCTGCACCCTAAATCAAATACAATAAAAAAGAGTTACATTTTTTACAAATATCTTAGTTACTTTTAGGAGTATTTAGGCAATATTAAGAAAAGTATCACTTTTTTCACTTAAAACAAGGTTCGTATTCTTTTTAATTCAGAAAAATTACATGACTTTCCACGCCAATAATATCGTATAAGAAAGTTTGTGTTTTGCAGATTTCCATACCCCAATAAATCCTTTATAAATATTTCGGTTTGTTCGCTTTGCCCTTAACAGTGATGGATTGTTTTAATCCACATAAACACGAAGTGACGATTCAGATGAGCTATGACGCTAACCAGAAGCTGCTCAAGAAACAACTTTGCAATATTCCCATAAAAGATGACCTATAGCTATCTTCCATAATGGCGGGTATGATTTAAGTTCTTTTATGTGCTTGCAAATCAGCCTTCTTGTCCTCTCTATGGAGTGTAAAATCTAACGTTTTTGTCACGGCCAGAGAAGCTAATTTCCTTGAATGTGAAAGACTTGTAGTCGGCGCCCATCGTCTATGAAAGATGTCTTTCAATGGGATAATAAGAAAATTATGTTTGATACTATTTGATTCCAAAGCTTAAAAAGTTATTGCTTTCATGCTTCAAATACACGCATATGACTTTAACTGCCTTTTAGCCGATCAAACCTTTCGAGCTGAGAGAACCAATTTTTCAGTCAGCTATTGCACGCTTGAATGACAAAGTGTTCCTACGGCATAAAAGATTGCAGAATTTTCTCACTAAATTTCGACGGTCTAAGCTAATTTTCATTCAGACGTAGAAAATATCCTCTCATTTTCACTTTTCTCGGTCGCTCCGAGTTCAACTCCGCGGCTGCGCTGCGTAAATAGCCAACCAGTCTGCCTCTTGCCAGTTGGAATTTTCAAGCCCTTTGTGATAATTTGAAAGGTTTGTTTCTCTCTCTTATATTATGAAGCGCTTAGAGGCTTGCAGTATTTATATATGGATGAGGTAAGTTGTCACTTACCTTTTGTCCATTTGCACCATCTCTGCCCGATGGTCCAGCCACTCCTGGAGGTCCCTAGAAACAGAAAATATACCGGGGTAAACCCAAGTCTAAACGATAACAGTGATAAGTTTAAATTTTTGGCATGTTTGCTTCTAAATTTAAGTCGTCTCTCTTGATCTAAGAACACTTTGCTTCCTGGGTTGTTCACTGTTGTCCTTCAGTAACATTTTAGATAAAAAAAAAACATAAAATAAAAAGTTTTAAGCCAAGCTTTTGTCGATAAGCATCATCAGGATTGGCGAAAACTTGGATTTCTTTCTTCAGACTACCTAATTGCCATGTCAATATCCTGTTAATACCTCACTGTGTGAGTGTGTGTGTGTGTGTGTGTGTGTGAGTGTGTGTGTGTGTGTGTGAGTGTGTGTGTGTGTGTGAGTGTGTGTATGTGTGTGTGTGCATGCGTGCGTGCATGTGAGCGCCTAAACAAAATACTGAAATAGGAATATAGTATAGATAACATACAGGAGGGCCTGCTTGCCCTGGTTTTCCTGGAGATCCCGGGACACCTTCTTTTCCCTACATAATTAATAAAAAACAAAATGATTTTAGCAAATGTGGCATCCTTTACTAATGAATAGGCAAAGGAACAAGAAGAGAGCATTGAATTCTGACTATACATCATAATTTAATTGAGTGAACATAATCATCACTGTTGTACTGAGAACTCACAAAGGACCAGATTTTAATCTGAATTTTCCAGAATAGATTCTCAGTAACCATAACAATACAAAATGATAAAAAAAATTTTATAATGCATAAGTAATCGACAGTTTTTAACCCAGGGGCATAAAAGACTACACAAAACAGAATTTGTCCTCAAATGTTGGTTTGTCAAGAAGAAAAAAACACTAAAAAAAAAACAATAACAACAACAACAACACCATGTTGTTTAATAAGTTGCCAAGGCATCTACAACTTGACAAGTTTACTGTGCCCAGTTAACATATAATACCTTGGAAACAGTAGAAATACTGGTATTTCATTATGTCTACATACAAAATTATCCCCTATGTTTGACATTTTACCGGCATTCCTTGAACTCCTTTTCTTCCCTTAGGCCCAGGTTCACCTATCTGACCCTATAGACCATACACAGTAGAGCAAAAATCAGAGACAAATAACAACATATCACCAACAATAACCATTTTGACACAACCACCCGTACAAAAGAGATTGTTATGTAACTTCTTAATACAATATTAATACTTTGATGGTATATTACGAGAACCCAACTGCCATACACTGGCTTCAGTCAAAGAGTCAAATATCTCTGTGGGTTGTGGGTCCAACCTTTAGTGTGTCAGATATGTACTTCATGTATCTTCTCTCAAAATTGCTTAAAAATATTTTTCCTCCCAGAAATTTCACCCATCCCTCTCTTGTCAGTTCTGCAGAACAATTATGTGCATTGCTGGGAGGAGAGGGGAGGGGGGAGGAATTGTTCTTATCTGCTAGACACTTTTATTGATGTTTGAAGGATTTGTCAGGCCACTAGGTGAAATGACTGTGCATCATTAAACACCTAACTATATATCTCACATAATTTTTTAGCAAATGTCTAGCAGCTTAAGGGGAGGAAAACTAACCAGATCTTGGAAGGTAAAGGTCTTAATGAAAAATGTTTTAGACCATGTACATGCAATATCAACTAAAAACTGTTAGGACAACTCCTTTATTTACAGGCCTCAGTTGTAGGTGTCTGAAAACTTAATAATTGAAAAAAAAAAAAAACAACAACAACAACAACAACAACAACAACAACAACAGAACTTCTTACTATTGTTCCAGTGGGTCCTGACCGTCCTGGGGGTCCAGGAGGCCCTTTCAAACCCTTTGATAAACAAAAACAACAATAATTATTAATAATTATTAATTATTAATAATTAATTATTAATAATTATTACCGGTAATGACCACTGTTGGCAAAGTTTGCAACAGAAAATTAAGTCAATCTAAAAATGAGGCTGCTTTCTGTGTTGCTTGACTGAAAACTGCTGCGGATGATTGATACACAAATTGATTGCTTTCAGTTTTTCATGTTCCTTAAAACACCTTTGGCACAGGGTTAGGGTGCCAAAATAGAACGAATAAAGTATATTGAATGAGTAAATATCAATTAAAAGAATTGTTTTAAGGAAAAAGCTGCCATACCGAATCTCCACGTGGTCCGCGTGGGCCTTCGGGCCCAGGAGGGCCTGAGGGTCCCTAAGAATGAAATTCAACTCCACCATCAATTTAATGAGAAAAAAAACTTAAAGTTAACACAAAAATTCAATAAACACTTGAATATCAATATTAAGGCTAACTGTGACACCAATGCCCAGGCTAATCCAAATAAAAATAATAATAGTAATAAGCAATTATTGGATAAGGTTGGGCATGATGTTATTATTAATTATCAGAGCCCAGGTATCAGTTATCTGCCAAAGCCAAAGACTGGAGTAGATAACAAAGACACGTGGTTTGATACTTCATGATATCATGCATGAACCACATTCAATAGCTGTTCTATCATACATTTTTGAAAAGTCTGCAAAAAGAAGACAGTTCTCTCTGAGTTTACAATAGCTTGAGAACACCACGTAAGGGGCATGAAAACTAGGCAGACCTCGAACTCAACATAATAACCCAGTATCTCCAGCAGATACTTGTCACCTTCTCATGCTATTAAATGACTTGTTGACTGTATGCTCTCAACCCGTCAGATTGTTCATAATAAGTCTAATGTATAATTATTAATAATAAATTTTATCATTACTAATTAATAATCATGACAGTAAAGCAAACAACCTAGGTTTAAAATTCAAGAATTTGCCTCAATTCGACATTTCCTGGATGTGGAAGACAACAAGAACGAGTTGTCTAAATGCACACTTTCCAATTTGGACAGCATGTAATCCTATCACATAATTATACTGATTCAACTTCAACATTTCAATATGTAACAACGTATAAAATGAGTAAGGCAGCAAAAATCAATAAAAGACTTAGAAAAAATCCTCTTAGAGGATTTACTTGTATTCAAGGCAACTACTGGTAACAGTATTACAATTTTCAAAGAAAAATCCACTTTGCTCAACCTTTTTCTGCCTGTATTTGCCAGGGGCTGAATGGGTGCAGAAGACCCAAATTCTGCCTAATAATAACCCATAAAATCAAGAATCATGTTCATTAATCGATTCAACATTCCTTCCTTTAAAGATTTTGTACCTACCAATCGTCCTGGTCTTCCAGGTTGACCAGGATTTCCTGGAGGACCTTGAGGTCCCTAAAGTACAATCAAATAAATTTCATTTTTAACAATTTTGACTTGCCACTCCAAAATTGAAATAAATTTGCTGTCAAAATCACAGTAAAAAAGCATGGGTGAAAAAGATTGTCTGTACCCAAACTGAGTGACTTATCTTTCTAGAGGTCATCAGTTTTGATATGATTTTTTGGTAAAACTATGAAAGTGAAGGCAAAAAGAAGGCATGGCTATGTACCTCGGTTGTTTCAACCAAACAGAACATGAGGAGCAAAGGTTCAAACCCTGTCCAAGCCTGTTTTTTTCAAGTCTCCTTTTCTGCAGTTGCTAAAATTACAGCTCATCTGTGATAATCATTGCTTTAATTTAGTCTCCACATTGTTAAGTATGACATGCAGTAACATTACGACCTAAAAACTTACAGTATCGCCACGGCTACCAGGAGTGCCATCTTGACCATTCACACCATCTTCACCCTACAATAAAAAAAAAACAACTTTCAAACATCAATATTATAATTGAACAAAGGCACAGCATCATGGAATCTGTTTGTTAATTAGAATGCAGTCAAAAGTTGGACTTCAAAATAGTAACCTTTTCTCCTGGTGGGCCTGGAGGACCAGCAGGTCCTGGCATTCCATCTTGTCCCTGTGAAAATCCAAAAATGAATGAAATGTTAAATTGATCACAATTGCCAGAAAGCCTGGGCTGGGTTTCAAATTGAGTTTAACTCAACATGCAGTTCACAAAGATATATAAAATAGATGGTGGCCTCATTGCTTAACAACAGCTACATCATACAAGACAAGATTTATTGACTGGTTAAAATGTTTATTGCATACCGGCTCTCCATTCTTCCCATCTGCTCCCCGTTCTCCAGTTGGTCCACCATCTCCCTATCAACAAAATGATTGGAAAAAAATTACAAAAACAGGCAAATGTTTGCTCACTTAAATGCAACTCTGTTTTAAATGGTCTATTGACTATAATCAATATAGGTCATCTTCAGACCTAGTGGGTAGAGGGGCAGTGGCCTCATGGTTAGTTCGCTCGACTCCGGATCAAGTGGTCCGGGTTTGAGCCCCGGCCGGGACATTGTGTTGTGTTCTTAGGCAAGACACTTTACTCTCACAGTGCCTCTCTTCACCCAGGTGTATAAATGGGTACCGGCAAATTTAATGCTGAGGGAAACCCTGCGATGGACTGGCATCCCATCCAGGGGGGAGTAGAAATACTCCTAGTCGCTTCATGCTACAGAAACTGAAGTTAAGCACCGGCCTAATGGGCCACTAGGCTCATAAACAGACTTTACCTTTACCTTTACCCTAGTGGAACCAGAATTTCCTTAAAATCCTTCTTCAGAGTTCTGGGCCCAGTTGTTCAAAGGCCGATTAGCTCTAACCCAGGGTTAAATTTTAATCCAGGTTTCTAAATTTCTCTAATCAAAAGCCATTTTGGGATAATTTTCCTAGTTCTTTTTAGGACATTCAATCATCAAATTGTAGACAAATGGAATTAAGCTGAATTTTCTTTCAGAGCTTTCAGATCTGAAATCAAATTTCACACTAACCCTGGGTTATCTTAACACAGCTTTGAACAAGCCGGCCCTGATCTTCAAGGGGAATATTTTCCAGACTTATATTCCAAATTAGCTTTAAACCTCCAGAAAACTGGAAAGTTCAATGTTAACATCAACAGAGGATAGGGAATTTCCACATAATTCAATTAGCATTCCACTTATGATTCAATTCTTAGGATCAAGTTTTAACTTTTTCATATCGGGAAAATTCACTTAAGGTTTTCTTTTGTTGAGGATCAGAATGGAAAACCACCTTTGCACCCTTTGCTCCAGGGGGACCTCGCCGTCCTTGTTGTCCTGGTAAACCCTGGGGAAAATACAAACAGCATCAATATCAAAAAAATTTGAGTGTAATTTAACATCATGCTTTGGTTGGGTCTTGAACAAAAGCTTACAAGCTAGGAACTCAAGAATTACCTCCAATTACCAATGAGGCTACAAAAGGAAAAAGAAGAGGCTAACTGGAAACAAATCAAGTCATATTTCAAAACCACCCACATTCAAAGATTGACAAAGAGAAAGGGCCTGCAGGAGGGTTTTAAAAATTCTGGACCAGAGGCAGTGGAGGAAGCACACAGGTCTGGAATAGTTTGAGTGGGAACAGCCACAGACTAAGCAATTCAACAGTGATAGTATTGACATATCCAAGACTTCCTGACCAAAATTAAGACAACAAACGTCACAAGTGAACATTTTACTTACAGCCAGACCAGGGGAACCAGCTGGGCCAGGTGGGCCTTGAAGACCTCTCTCTCCCTGTGAACAGAAATGACACAAAATGTAATAAATAACATTAAATTTATCATAATTTATTTATCATCACCGATGAGTTTTAATTATGTTCATGAGCATTCTTTGAAGGTGAAAGTTGATTATAATTATGATTTTGATCAGAACCAAAAATGCAAAGATTTGACAATAAAAGTTGCAAAATGTGCAGGACAATGGCTATTCTGTATTTTCTTTTTATGCAGTCTTATTTGCTGCTTTAAACAAGTTTTTAAAAACTGATTGGTCACTGAGTTTTAGCACTCCATTCTGGGATGTGATATCAAGCAAAATCACACAGATGAGAGTTAGTATCATGTAAGGATCACTGATCAAAGCATAATGGACTAGAAAGGGATAACCTCTTCTACCTCATTTCACAATTTTTCATGTATTTTTTGTTGTTAACATATTGTTTGCTAGTTTTTCTTTGCTTTCTGTGTGTGATTAATTGTGAATAAACTACTATTATTAATTCACAGCCAGTATTATGCAGCAATGCAGGGGAAAAAAAAACACTCACTATTTAGCACCTTTTAAATTATCACAATTGACTTACAGCTTTGCCATCAGCACCAGGTACTCCTGGCTCACCAGGGTCTCCAGAGGAACCCTACATAGATGAGATAATATAGTGATATACATAATTAATCCTGTTGGTGCTCTTTTGTAAAAGAATTGATTAATCAAGAAATCAAGGTGTACAAAATACTTACAGCAACACCTGGAGGTCCACGATCTCCTTGCGAGCCACGTTCACCCTGTTAATAAGTGCATGATATAGTTAATTGCTTGAACTCATGTTAAAGAAGGACAACGCAACTTTGGAGAGTACAGCCTTAATCAAAAGTTCAGTATCTGTACATGAACAAGTTGTCTAAGTGGTAAGCAATGACAACTGATTGTGGTTTAATGGAAAAATTAAAGGAAGAAGAACATACCCTTGTTCCTGGAGTTCCATCCACTCCACTCTCCCCTGGTGATCCCTAAAATGACAAAACTATCCCTTTCACTCCAAAGAATTCAGTAAATCTCCTGACCATCTTTCAGTTTGTCCGTTAAGAAAATTTGGCGTCAAATCAAATAATACTTACTAGTTTATACTTCTTTTAATTTCTTTTGCTTCATCTCCTTAATAACGTTTTAAACTTTGCTAGGGAAAACTACTGATGGGGGAAATCCTTAATTTCTTGAGTTTAGTCAAGCATATGTTAATCAGTCTAATAATCTGACAGAATCACTCTCTGTTACAACAATGGACCATGTTTATCACGCTACTTCAGTCGATGCAACTACAATTGTACCAGTACGAAATACTGAGCCCTTATCTAACAATAGATGTGGGAATCTTCTAACAAAAGACTGTTCTGTGCAAGTGACAGGGTCACAGAAGTCACACTGCAAGACAGAATTATGGTATATCACACTTTGTATTTGTTTAATAGTGGCTGTTATACCCTGGTATCCCTGGATATTGCAGGCTTGGCTGCCAAGCCTAAGGACGTTTTAGAGATGTTGGATCTGTTTTACTTTTGGTACATACAAACTCTTCTTGGATATCTGAGTCTGTTTCAGTTACAATTTAAGACTTTGCGACACTACAATGGCACTTACAGTTTCTCCGGGCTTTCCAGGTAGCCCTGGTGGTCCCTGACTGCCAGGGGCTCCCTAAACAAACAAGCAAACAAACAAAGAAATTAACAAAAGAAGTTGTATTGATAATTGATAACAAGTACATCACATAAAATATGATAACATATGCATCACAGAATCCCTGCAAAACCCTTTTATCCACTAATTAGTGGATAATCTTTAAGAATGCTGATTATATACCTGAGGTCCCTGTGGGCCAGTTTGTCCTCTTTCTCCTCGTTCACCTTGCCTTCCCTGTTTTGGAGAAAATGAATTTAAACAACAACAACTTAACTCGGGTATGTTAGCATAATTACTTTATGGCAACATTGTTAATTATCTCCTCCATTGACTTGTCACCTTAAATCACAATTACTTTGCAAATTAACATCATTATGTGACTTAGTGTTATCTCTCATTTTTTTAAAGCCAAAATTTAATTATCTGGGATCTCTACATTTTTGAGTTTCAATTGTCAGAAAAAAAATCTGGAATAGTTGGGAAACAGTGAAATCCCCAATTGCGTGGGATTTTCCTATAACATAATTATGTAAACCAGCCTTTCCCAGTTATAGTATTTGCAAATAGCACAACACACTCTCAACCACTGAAAAGGTAGAAAAAAAACTAAGTGCATTATGATCTGTACCACTTAAATTTGAAAGTCAGAGCAAACCTGTTTTCCTGGAATGCCGGTCAGACCACGCCTTCCTGGTCCTCCAGTTTCACCCTAGAAAAAATTTTTAAAAAAGGAACATTATAACTGTGATTCCCAGTGTTTCATGGTATTTACAGTTGTGTTCTTGTCAACAATAATCTTTCTCTTCTTCTCTCTGTGCTTCATTTCAACATATTTTGAAAAAAGAGCAAACTGCAACTCAATAACATCTTCAAAATGAACCACTCCAATTAAAATTAGTACACAAAAAATTAAAGCAAATTTGTAACAATCAATATAATTCCAAGTTGATCCTTGATAATTCTGTATTAAAGTATTTTCAGACTTTTCAGCAAAATTCAAGAGCTTCTAACTTTTCACAAGTTATGTTCCCCAAAAAATATTTCAAAGATCAGTGAGACAGTCTGCTGCACATGTCATGTGTCAGTTTTTGTTTATACCACACTTATCATCCCACCATCAGATGTCATCTGAGACCTAGTAATGTACAGATGCACTTCAACATAGAATCTGTTTAAGGTTGGAGAATGTTATCCAATGGATGAAGAAAGCACAGTACATTTTGCTATCACTTATCCCCTGGATTTATCAGCCTTTTATACAACTGGGCCCTGAATGGCAAGAGGTCATGTAGGGACAATTATATTGCACAAGAACATATCAAAACTCCGGACCAGGAGGGCAAACTTAAACCTTCAAATTCCTGTGACCAACAGGTGCCACAACTAAGAACTGACATTAAAAAGTCAATTACCTTGGCTCCTTGAGGACCTGGGGCTCCTGGTTCACCATCTACACCTGGTTCTCCCTAATATAAAATATCATAATATCATTATAATCAATAAATAAGAGTTATTGGTATATACCACACAGGTGAACAGTGCTTTTTTGGAGCACTGATTGGCTAGTTTGGAAGTGAATAGCAACTACCATCCACCTAGTCATTGAGACAGACATTTGTGTCAACAGTTTAATTCTGAGAAAAAAAAAATTTTTTGGTATCTATAGATGTGGTAGTACTAAATTAAATATAATTATTCACCTCTACACTGGTGAAAGTGGTAGATATTTGCTCACCACTTACCTGTTCAGAAAACATCCACCACTATTCATCTCCACTTTTGTAAATAAACTAATCAATACTATATTAATTAATAATTAATTGATATAATAATTATATTATATCAATATTGATATATTAGTACCGATATAAATAGTACTATACTTATCATTGAAAAACAAATTTGTTGTTTTACAAAATTAATTCTGTGGTGGGTGGAAGCCTCTACACTTTTAAAGTTCTTCCCTAAAAATAGCATCAAACAAATGCCAAATGATTGCCAAACTGATGATGCTCATCTTTTACTTTTTTACAATTATCAATATCATTATTACTTTTAATACAATTATTACTATTATTATCTTTATAATTCACCATTGATCCTTTTCTTCCAGTCAATCCACTAGGCCCAGGGTTTCCTTGTGGACCCTAGTGATATAAATGAACACGTGAATCAATAAAAACAGTGTCCAGTGACTCTTCTTATATTGGGTGTTAATGAAGTGATGTGGACAGTCGTCAAATAACTCTGAAGACACGACAAAGTTGTTCACAACTTTTGCACAAATGCAATTCCATATAACCTAATAATTTGGATATATCAACAAAGTTGAAATGGTAAATTGGCCACCGTAACGATTACAAAAGCTGACATTTCCAGCGCTAGCCCTTTGTCGGAGCGAATGAGAAAAAAACAAATTTAGAAAAAAAACACCTAGACTCTGACTTAAAAAAAAAAAAAAATCTCTTGTATGCTCTCATACCTGTTGGCCAGGAGCTCCTGGTGAGCCATCTGCTCCTGGGTCACCCTAAAAGAAAAACATCAGCGTGATTAGTTGACAGGTAAATAAGAAAGTGACTGATCACAAACTTCAAGACATTGCATATACATGATGACCCTTTAACTACTCAGAGTGGCTGGCATCTAGTTTCTCCTTACAATATCACCCCTGAAAAGCTCCTGAGAATAAAGGAAATGATCATCAACTACAGATTCTCCTTGTCAGCTCCTCAATAAATGTATGAAGAACAGTTTAGAGAATATCATGATGTTAGGGTGTAAAGTTTTACATACTGGCGCGCCAGTTTTGCCATCTCGTCCGGGTACTCCTGGTTGACCTGTGGGTCCCTAGCAAAGAAACACCACATTTACTTGACATTAGGAAAACTCTGGTCAAAACATGTTAACTAACAAGAGCCATGGCATAGTCCTACCCTAGTTAACACTTAGACCCGTAAGGGTGACAAGCATCTAATTTCTCCTTACATA